TCCGCGGAATTCCAGAGCATCATCGTTCTATGATTGCTCCGTCATTATACGCTGCAAAGTTTGGCCATGTTGATTCTGCAAGAACGTTTTTCACAGATGGATCTCTAATAGAGGAGTCCGCTGGTTTTGGTGTATTTAATGAATTTCATAGCGCCTCTCGAAAACTTGAAGCTCCTTGTTATGTGTATGGGGCTGAACTGGCAGCAATTCACTACACTTTGGAAACTATTGCTTCACTTCTTCCAGACCACTACTTTATTTTTACGGATAGTCTCAGTTCTGTCGAGGCTATCCGTTCCATTAGGCCGGTAAAGCACTTCTCGTATTTTCTCTTGAAAATACGAGAACTACTTAGTACTTTATCCGTGCGCTCTTTCATCATCACCTTCGCGTGGGTCCCTTCGCATTGCTCAATTTTGGGCAATGAGAAGGCGGATTCACTTGCGAAGGTGGGCGCTATGGAAGGCGACATTTATGATCGACAAATCGCCTATAGTGAATTTTTCTCTATTTATCGTCAGCAGTCGCTCGTTAGCTGGCAACATCAATGGAGTGAAGGGAGCTTGGGACAATGGCTACATTCAATTATCCCTAAGGTGTCGAAGTTTGCATGGTTCAAAGGGTTGGACTTGAGTCAAGACTTCATACGCGTGATGTCTCGTCTCATGTCCAATCACTATTGTCTAAACGCTCACTTGTTCCGTGTGGGGTTGGGAGACAGCAATCTCTGTGAATGTGGACAAGGTTACCAGGACGCTGATCACATCCTTTGGTCTTGTGCGGAGTATCGTGGAGTCAGATCACATTTTTATGATTCCCTTCGGGCTCGAGGTAGACAACCTAATGTTCCAGTTCGGGATATTTTGGCTAGACGCGATCTGGAGTTTATGAAACTCATATATGTTTACTTTAAGGATATTAACCTTAGATTGTAAGTTTGATTAACCTTGTGTTTAGTTTGTATTTTGTACGTGTGGGTTTTTTTTTTCAATGTTTGTTTTCAAGGTGAATAGAAATAATTTCATGCTTTAGGATTAATTAAATAGTTGTATCGTAAACCACATTTCAAACCTCCTTCTTCCCTTTTCCCACCCAAAAAATTGTAAATCTCCACTAACCTCGAGACAACCGCGAGTACTCGGTCCAGTTCCTTTAACTTTAAATTTAAGACAGTAATAATGTATAACGCAAAGAATAACTCGGCTCTGTAAAGTTTATTCGATTGAGCCTGTACAAATAAAGTAATTATATAAAAAAAAAAATCTAGGAGGACTCAATCAATGAGATTTGTGAATGGATCTATGAACACTGCCTATAACTTTTAAATTAATTTTTCTAGCGACTTACAGTCTTTAAGAAAATAATAATGTTTTCAAAAATTATGTCAAAAACTGTGTGCTTTTGTAAAAAAAATCAACACTATAAAGGTATGGGCGGTCCATTATGTAAGTATAATCCGCAAACATAAATAATCAGACCCTCTTCTCCCCTTTCGTCACGTTTTTCATACCTCAAAATTTCAAACAATTTGATTTGCATTTTCGGAAGTGCTACACTCTTTTTTTTCTATTGACTTCCCGAGCATCCAAAAACTATTCACCCATTGACTTATTTCAATACAGTTTTACTGTTCATAAATCATCAATATGCAAATGACCGTCATGTGGCGAATATTCATAGCTGTGCACGTCACGAATACAGAAGAAGCGACGACAAATAACGGTCTGTTATAAACCGGCAACGGGAGGGGAAATTCCAGTCCGACGGACCGACGCGCGTTTATATCATTTAACTGATTTTGAATCACACGTCCCAGCCTCCGTAGCGCCAGGTAGCTAGTTGATTTGACGTCACATAGTGGTTACAAAATTATTCAGAGATATTTTTTCGAAATTTTTTTTTTCTTTCGATAGAAAGTTTGCTTGATTCCAATCGTTTTTTTTTTTTGTTTATGAAAATGTCGCACGTCTTTCTTCCGTGATATAAAAGCGTGCTTGATTTCAAATGATCCGCATAGTGATCTTCAAGGTTCATCCAGTTCGGAACAATTTCTCGCACCACTAAGCACGAGTAGTATTTATCTAGCCAAGATGATCAAGGTAAGGTTTTTGATAGTGCTCAGCTCTGAGTCCTACTGTAGAATCTTCTAATGTCATTATTTTTATCATCAGGTCATTGCCATTGTCCTCCTCATTTCTGTGGTTGCTCACGCCATGCCTACCAGCGTAGATGAGTCTATGGAGGCTCCAGTTTCTAGTGTTCTGCAGTCCAACCAGGCTGTCGTCGAACTGGAACCGGCAATTGCATCCGTTTCGGGAAGTGACGTTGAAATGAGCGAACAAAACAAGGAAGCTATGGAGAACGCCGAGACCTTCGGATTTGGTTACCATAAAACGTTCTATCCACGGGTGTATGGCCCATCATATCCAATTATGCCCCATTATGGATACTACGCTTACCCCACTTATGTGAATACACTGCACTATTACTAAAGATGTTCATCGATTTAGTGTTAATTTTATATGTATTTCGTTAATTTATTGTAAATAAAGATGTGATTGAAAATGATTCTTTAATTTATACACCCACTCTTCTAGAAGAAATAAGGGTTAGAATAGTAAGGAGGAATATAAGCGTATGGATTGTACTGAAGTTGATTATACCCTCTGTAGTAGAAATCATTGTAAAATGGGTTCATGTAATTGAAGTACTGAGGTTGATAACCATTCCAGAACGTTTCAGATTTATCCATATCATCGTCATTGGTTGCATCATTTGGTTGTGCTGATCGAGTTGGTCTTGCAAGTATCGGGATAGGTGTGTTTGCCAATGGTTTTGCTTTCAAAACAGAACTTGATCCACCAGTTATCAGCATCGCAAGCGCCAAAAGATAGATTGCCTGAAAAAATTGAATGTTTGCTTAACTTATAAACCATCCCTTCTATAGCTCAATTACCTTTATCATCGTGTAGAATTGCGTAGCGGTAAGTACAGAAATGTTTTTTTTTTGTCCAGAACGTTGATGTTTAGTACTGGTAACGAGAAACGTCAGAGCCGAGCTTTTTATACCCTTTCTGTTGTTAATTAGTTAAACGTTTAATTTATGTGTGTACGCTTAATACATTGATTGTCACCTTCCATTTTGGTTACTGAGCTATTTTTGGAAATGTTTAGTGTTCATCTTGGCATTATAATTAACAATTGAGTATAATGTACACTTAACGTTCGCCATCTGAAAGGAACATTTTGATTTGCATAAAAAATCACTTATTTCTTGTGTCAACTGTAAAACATATGATGCTGGCTGATTAATTTTTGACAGGGGCTAACATTTTTATACGATTACCTGATATTTTGAAAATATGCGAAAACATCCCTTTCAGTTAGCGAACATTTAGTGTAGTAGAGAAGGCGAAAACCAATCGCCATGGCTGGGTAAATAAGCGTGGTGCTGTTTTCATGGCTATCCTGAACCATTGCTAATTGAGATACCTATAACTAAACATCGCACTGCCTAGCATTTAAATCCTTATTTTGTGAGGTATTTTCTAGCTGCTGAATTCCTCTTCCTTAATCGTTTTTAACAAGCGAAAGTAAAGATGTGAGGCCTGTATTTGATAAGGAACATTATACCACAGTAGGTGTTTTGGATAAATATGTTAGGCGTAAAGGACGTCAGGCTTAGTATTAAACGTCATGTTATTTTGGGTACTAAATAGAGAGATGAAATATCTCGTTTATAATATAGGTTCATCGTTATTGCTATATAGTTTGGTTTCAATATAAGATCAGTATTGTGGTGGATTTCAAATCATTTATATCGGCCAAATATCAGATAATTATAAAAAGAGAGGTGTTCGACACTGGGGTGGACTGTATCACCGGACGGACAGTTTCTTCGGTTATTTGATGAATGAATCCCAGGAGTGACGCTTCCGACCCGTCCGATCGGAGGAGCACCACTTTGTTCATCTCCGGTTGATTCCACGAATCTTGATTCCTTGCTTCCTGGTTTAACTACCAGCAACTGATGTTGTTGCGTCTTGGGGTATCACACGGAATGACGGGTGACTTCGGAATGTCGGGATGTCCACGATGCCTGACTCGGGAGCCTCCTGGCCTCCACGAGTGCCTGATTGCCCTACAAAATGAGAGGGGCCTTTTTCAACTGAATTACAGAAATACAAATTAACTTGCCTGACGCGGAGGCCTCCGGGCCTCCGCGAGCGCCTACAGCGCCGATGACGATCATCGTTGATCATCGCGATACGGTATGCCAGTAGAACGATTAGCAGAATGGTGTGACGACATCGACTTCAGCGTTGAAGAACCACCGGTACGGATTGGCCAAACCCGTTGATGTTATTGGATGTTGCACTGAGAAGGAGAGTGCCATGGATTGCTCCCTTCGTTGGATTGGTGTGCACACCGATTCTCTACTTCTACGATGACAGAATGATTTTGGACAGTAACTGGTCTTGGACATACTGACAGATGCTGACACGGTTGTGCCAGGCTTTACAGGACGATATTGACATTTATTTCAGGACTGGACAGGACATCATTATGGACGTTTAACATGCTTGACTGACTGGACGACATTACTGATAACTGGACTGGTTGAACTGGTTTGTGGATCCCGAGTTGTTCGAATAGTGAACGGAAGCGCGCCGAAGCGCTGAAGCGAAGGAGTTTCAATTCTCCTCAGAAGTGGGCACAGCTTGGTTGTCCCGAATGGGAAGGACGCAAATCTTTGAGATAGCTCTCCGGAAAAGACCGTCCTTCGTTCTCACGGTCACTACACGGATATTCCCATCGGAACCCGCGTGAACCTCTACTACTCGTCCCAACTTCCATTTCATCGGTGGAAGATTGTCCTCTTTCACGAGAACCATTGTATCAACGGAGATGTTATTGCGTCGACGAGTCCACTTGGTTCGGTTATGGAGATCGGACAGGTATTGCGAGGACCATTTCTTCCATATCTGCTGCACGAAGTCTTACGATTTTTGCCACAGTGAAAGACGATTCTCCGGGATATGACTGAGGTCCGGTTCTGGAACAGCTGTTAGCGGTCGCTGAACCAGAAAATGACCAGGCGTCAATGCTTTGAAATCCGTTGGGTCATTGCTGATCGGCGTCAACGGACGGGAGTTGAGGATCGCTTCCACTTGAACTATCACAGTTTGCATTTCATCGTGCAATAACGTTCTGGATCCAATGGTGCGTTTGAAATGGCTTTTGAAGGATTTTACGGCAGCTTTCCAAAGGCCACCGAAATTGGGCGAACGTGCTGGGATGAATCGAAATTCTATCTCGTCTTCTTCAGCTTCATTTACGATCGACTGCTGGAACTGCTGGTTACGGAATAGTTCGTGTAGTTCGTCGAGTTTGCGCCTTGCTCCGACGAAGTTGAGAGCGTTGTTACACATTACCAGGGTTGGTTTGCCTCTTCGTGCGACGAAACGCTTGAATGCTGCGAGGAAGGCTTCGCTTGTTAAATCTCCCACCAGCTCCAGATGAACAGCCTTCGTGACCAAGCAGACGAAGATTGCGACGAAATATTTACGCGGAGTTGTTCGACGATTGGGACAGGCAACCAGAAAAGGTCCACAGTAATCGACACCAACTTTCAGGAACGGTGGCGCGGGTGTAACTCGTTCCGACGGCAAATCTGCCATCAGCTGATCCAACACTTTCGGTCTGCATCGGAAGCACGGCACGCATTCGTTGATTACGGTGTTGGCTAATCTTCTGATCTGCGTGGGCCAGTACTTCTCCCGTACTCTACTTATGAGAAGCTGTTGCCCAGCGTGGAACAATTTCTGGTGGTAGTGTATGACTACTAGTTTGCCCAGGGGATGATGATAGCTGAGAATCGCTGGATGCTTGCGACTCGCTGGAATAGGTGCCTTGGATAGCCGACCACCTACGTACAGTACCCCATCAACGAGAATTGGTGTGAGTCTGTTGATCGATGACGACGGCTTGACTTGATTTCCGCTCTGGAGTGCAGAAATCTCCTCCGGAAACGATTCCCTCTGAGACAAACGGATTAGTGATAGCATAGCTTCTTGGAGTTCAGCGTGACTGAGATACCCATTGCGTCTTTCTTCGCGATGGTGACAGTTGTGGATGAAGCGAATCCATGCAACTTTACGGATCAGCGTAGATAGAGAGGAATGAAGTGAAAAGATGTCACTGTGTGGCTTGGACTGTGCTGGAATTGCGACTGCACTTCGCTCTTCTAGCAGTGATTGCTCGAAATCTTCCTCAGGACTTCCCGCCGGCCAGGTGCTGCGGTCTCGACGCAGCCATGGTGGACCTTCAAACCAAATCGTGCTGTACTGAAGCTGAGCCGGTATCATCCCTCGTGACACGATGTCAGCTGGGTTCTCCAAGCCAGCGACATGATTCCAATCGAAACCCTTCGTAATGTGCTGAATCTCGGACACGCGATTCGCTACGAACATCTGCCACCTCGATGGCAGCGAAGATAACCAATGCATTACGATTGTCGAGTCTGTCCAGAAGCTTGCGGTGTGCGGAATACGAATGCTGTGCTTGACCTTCTCGTACAGATGACTGAGGAGCAGTGCGGATGACAACTCGAGGCGAGGGGTGGTTAACTTCTTCTTGTTGCGCTTGAGATCCTCCAGTGGTGCTACTCTCGATTTGGAAATCAGCAGCCGAACTTCTACTGAGCCATCCGACAGTGTACAACGCACGTAGAGGCATGCACCGTATGCCTTGTCTGATGCGTCACAGAAACCGTGCAACTCGACCGAAATTGCATCAGATGTGTATCCTATCCACCGAGGAATTGAAAACGACGAGAGGGCTGTCAAATTCATCCTATACTCCTGCCAAAAGTTCTGCATCGCTTCGGGTAGTGGATCATCCCAACCGCACTGCTGCTTCCACAATTCTTGGAGAAATATCTTGGCAATGACGACAACTGGACCCATCAATCCTAACGGGTCAAACAGGCGAGCTGCTTCTGCGAGAACGACGCGTTTCGTGAGCACTGCTTCGTTTTCCCACTTAGGAGAATGGTATCGGAAATTGTCTGAATGCGGCTCCCACAGTAACCCCAAAGTTTTCACTGGTGAAGTTGAGGAATCAAGCTCTAAAGTGGCACGATCATCGAGGAGATCGGGGGGCAATTCGGCTAACAATTCCTTGCAGTTGGAGTTCCACTTTCGCAGGTTGAATCCACCTGATGAAGTTAGCGTGATCATTTCCTTTGCCAGCTGCTTCGCTTCGTCGGCGTTGTCCGCTCCAGTCAGCATGTCATCGACGTAAAAATCTTCCTTCAACACCTTAGCTGCGCGAGGATAAGCGAGAGCTCCTTCTTCTGCCAGTCGCTGTAAGCACTTTGTCGCCAAGTATGGTGCAGATGCAGTCCCGTAAGTGACAGTTGCTAACTCGTACGTTCGGATCGGTTCGTCAGGGGAATCTCGGTAGACGATCCGCTGTAGGCATCGATCGAGTAGATAGATGAGTATCATCCGATACATTTTTTCCACATCCGCTACAATGGCAATGCAGAACAAACGGAATCGGAGTGTGATGGTGATCAAATCCTCCTGAACTACAGGTCCAACCATTAGCGCATCGTTGAGCGATACACCGCTGCTGGTCTTACAGGACGCGTCGAAAACAACACGTAATTTCGTTGTTGTACTATCCAGTTTGAAAACTGCATGGTGGGGAAGATAGTACACGGGAAACTGCTCTTCGACGTCCGGAACTTGCACCATGTGACCAAGTCGCTCGTATTCGTGGACGAAATCTGCGTACGCTGCCTTCAACTCGGGATTCAACTGGAACCGCCTCTCCAAGCCCAGAAATCTCCTTGTCGCTATGTTTCTGGACTCGCCGAGCTGATTGATGATGAATTCACGCTTTGGAAGTGCGACGATAAATCTGCCTGCATCATCACGAGTGGTTGTTTGATCGAAGAATACTTCACACGCCGTCTCCTCTACCGATTGACTACTACTGGAACGACAGGTTTCTATCTCCCAGAACTTCGTCAACTGTTCTTGCAGGTTTGCAAGCGTGCACGAATACGACAATGTGCGATGCAACGTGCCTGGTTGATCGGCTGCTCGACCGGAAACCACCCATCCAAAGACTGTATTTTGCAGTGTAGGGCCTTCATCTCCAACCTTCTCACGACCGTCAGAGAGCAGATTGAAGTAGTGTTCTGCTCCGATTATCAGATCAATGCGACCAGGTTCGTGGAACTGGGGATCCGCAAAGCTGATATTAGTCCGGAGCGTCCAGTGGTTCACGTTGATTCTTCGTGCAGGCAAGGTTGCCGTTAACTCCGGCAAAACGTAGAAATTCATCTCCTCACGATACGATGATATTTCCTGAGAGCGAGGTAGAACTGCTGCCTTAACTACCTTCCGCGCTACGACGACTGAACCACCGATTCCTTGGACTGACAGGTGTTCAGGTGAAGCCCGAAGCTTGAGTTTACTGGAGAAGTTCGTCGTCATGAAGCAGAATTGCGAGCACGAATCTAGTAACGCTCGAGCTAGTCGTGAGTTGCCGTAACTATCTTTAACACACACAATGGCGGTGGACAGTAGAATATCTTGTGTGGATAGTGTATTGGTTGGAAGCGCGATAGTGTTCTGGGTTGTGCATGGTTGGTTTGTGGTGGACAGTGGTGCAGTGTTATGCGAGTGTAATACGGGAAGAGAACTTGTAGACTGGTGAGCGCTGTGAGCGTGTGTTTGTTGGTTCTGGTTTGGTATTTGTGTCTGTGGTTTTTGCTGATTACCAGCTGGAGGTCTACTTTGCTCTTGTGGGACGGAGGATGTATTTCTAATAGTGCTTGACTGCTGTGATTCTGGGTGCAACAGGGAGTGATGCTTCTGATTACAGTGGTGGCACACGCCCTTGCTGCAAAATCGTGCCTGATGTCCTGGCGATAGACAGTTCAAGCAGAGTCTGCCTCTTTTCACAGCATCACTGCGTTCATGTACCTTCAGTTTCAAAAATTTCACGCAGCGAAAAGCGGAATGAAATCCGTCCCCACAAAACGGACACTTGTTCCATGACTTGACTGCTGAGTTGCTGACGGACGGCTTCGATCGTTTCTCTGGTATCGGCGTAGATTTGGCAGGAACGACGGACTGCAACACGGAGCAATGATCTCGTAGGAAGTGGATAAGGTTTTCATACTTCGGCACCTCCTTCGAATTATGATGTGCTTCCCAGTTCCGAAGCGTTGCTGAGTCCAAACGAGAACACACCATGTGAACCAGAATGGTGCTCCAGTCATTGGTCTTTTCTCCTACCTTCTCCAACATCAGCAGGTTTTTGTCGAATTCGCTGATAAGACGATTAAGCGACTCGTAACTCTCCCTCCTGGTTGGCTCCACAGCAAAAAGTGCATCGAGATGAGCCTTGACGATCAGCTTTTTATTTTCGTACCGTTTCTCCAGCGTTTCCCAGGCAACTGCGTAATTTACGTCAGACATTTACACCGAGTTGATTTCCTGTAACGCTTCTCCATTCAACGACGATCGAAGGTACGTAAACTTTTCCATATCCGTTAGCTGTGGATTATTATGGATCAAGCTACGGAATGTATCTCGGAACGTTACCCATTCCTTGAGCGGTCCACTAAAGGTTGGCAAGCGAATCTCGGGAAGCTTAACACGTGATAATCCTGCACCGGCAACGTGTGCGACTGGTTGAGTGTTAGCCGTAGGATCTATCAGCTTCGGTCGAAGACTCATCAGAATGGCCTTGAGGGTACAGTACTTGTCTTCAGCATCCATGATGATCATCGCATTTTCTGCATCTTTCTTGGGATCCATTGCAGCATCTTCTTCATCGTCGTCAACATCATCCGTCAGTAGTTCGATCTTCCTACGGACGTTGTGGAATTCCTTGAAGGCAATTTCCAGTCGCTCCAACCGAATATCCACTTGCACACTATGCACTTCAACATCGAATCCTTCAACGAACAATTTCACTGAATCAAATGTCTTCAAGATGTTCCGTTCTTGTTTCACCAAGTCACGCAATTCATTAGCCATATCCACTGATAGTTAATGTTCACTTACAATGTCACAAAAAGTTCAAACTGTTCACACACAGAAATATTTAACACTGCACTGTAATTCACTCCACTGTGCACCCGTACCCGTAATCGAATTATCGACTCGACGTCCCACGCGACCCCGCGGTTGACAGAGACAGGGGGAGCAAAGCAAAACCATCAACAGCAAAGATCCAACCAAACAGACCAGAGAAAAGAAACCAGCAGAATTTTATGACCAACCGTAATAGAAAACACAGAGGCTAAATGGATATCTACAATTCCCGTATGGGATGAAAAATACTCGCATGCATTTAGAAATTCAATTTATTCAGTTTGCACCATCAAATTTTTATTGCACTGATTCACCAATTCCATTTGACTCACATGCAAAGAGTCCACCAACAAACCTTTCACACATGCAATTACTTCCCCGTTTATCCGATGGCGCCTACCGGTCCTTTCCGCTGTTCCTTTGCTGCTGCTACGATCAGCTGATTTAGAGATGGCTGGACTGGAACAAATCAGCTGTCTGCCTCAGCGATGGTGGTGATCGAGGTCGGCGAACGATGGCTACAGGTCACTGCACTAAGCCGCTTCGATGGCTACTTTTCACTGAGTCTTTTCACAGGGAGTCTTACTGTCCATATCACTGGTCACCTTTTCAGTCCAAAAGTCCCCGAAATCCGGTTCGAATGACCAAAAATGTTCGACACTGGGGTGGACTGTATCACCGGGCGGATTTCGGTACTTTTATGGAATGCACACGCGACGATTATAAACATAAAAACACTTTTATTCTGGTTAAATAAAAACCCAACTGTTCGGACACTGTTTATTTGTTAGTCTTTCGATAGACGGACAGATTGCTTCTTCTGCGTTAGTTTAAATGATCTTTATTTCAGTTTAACTTGGACGATTACCATATAAATTTTTTTACTAAGTGATTTAATTGCTTTCTTCATCTTTAGGTATGGGCAAAATTCAAAATTTGTTTTACAGAATTAGTCCTAGACTTAGTACACGGTCGACCACCTTGGTGGGATTGGTTTGTTTTGTTTTTAGAATTTGAAGAGAAACTACTTAATACTACTATTTACAGCTTAAAACTAACCTACTCTACTATATACACTTAACCTACTATGTACAAATTGCTTATTAAAGCATGTTCAGAAAGATTGCATTTTTGAATAAATTTGGTTGTCATATCATCAAGTTTGGAATCTACTTTGGGAATTTCTGCCTCTTGATGGAGGTCTGCTATTCTTGTGTCGAATGGACGATCTAGGATCATCCTCAACACTCTATTCTGTGCAACCTGGATTTTGTTCCTGTGGGTCTGAGCGCACGATTCCCACACCGGGGCGGCATAGAAGATCGCGGGGGCTATGATCTGTTTGTAAACAGCCAGTTTGTTTTTTTTTTTCGAACAGCTTGCTCAGCGCTGAGAGCAGGCTAATCGGTCTGTAGCTTGACGGTAGTGAAGGGTCTTTCCCAGGTTTGCGGATCGGGATGATTTTTGCCACCTTCCAGATGCTTGGAAAGTAGTGCAGCTCCAAGCATCTGTTGAGGATGGCAGCCAGCAGCGAGTGGACCCTCGGGCTGAGATTTTTCAACGCTAGGTTGAATATTCCGTCAAACCCGGGAGCCTTCATGTTTTTACTATATTTCAGCGCTGAGCAAATTTGTTCCTCTATAATCCGTTCTTCTGGAGGTACGGCACAAGGGGAGGTATCTAACGTCTGGACGCACTGCACAACCTGGTTCTCGAGTGGACTTGGGATTGTAGAGCCAAGCAAATGCGACTGGGCAATGTGCTCCCCAATTGCATTGGCCTTCTCTTCGTTGGTGATAAGCCGTTCGTCATTGACTCTAAGTGGTGGAATGGGCTTGGGGTGAGACTTCAGCACCTTGGCAACCTTCCAGAATGGTCTGGAACGGTCGTCCAGGTTCTGAACGAGCCGCCCGAAACTCTCGTTCCGGATTGAGATCATTCTGGAAGCGATCTGCCGATTCAGATCGACCATTTCGCATTTACACTGCAGATCCCCAGTCCGCTGAAACTGGCGTCTACGAACATTTCTGAGCCGAATCAAGAGTTTGGTGTGGGAATCAATTGCTTGAAACTTACCCCTCACAGGAACTCGTCGAACGCACTCTTCGTCAGCCATGGATATGGCTTGATGGAGACCCTCCAGGGCCCGGTCGATGTCCTCCACTGTGTCGAGCGGTGGGTTGTCGTCGATGTGGCGGTCGACCACGCGTCGAAACTGGACCCAGTTGACTCGATGGTAGTCCTTCCGCTGGCACGGTGCAGGGGCCACGTTGTAGCCCAGCTCGGTCAGCACCGGTTGGTGGTCCGAACTCAGGTCGTTGACGGCAACCGGCTTGGCTAATCTGGTGTTTGCCAAGAACAGGTCCAGCGTCGATTAGTTGCCCGTCGGTGATGTGAAAGTTGGTTCGTCTGGAAACCAGACGGAATAGAGACCATGCTGGGAATGGTCGAATAGCAGGCGGCCGTTCTGGTTCTGCTGGTAGTTCCGCCAGGCCTCGTGCCGGGCGTTCAGGTCCCCTCCGATTACGAAGCGGGCATTGGTGCGGGTTATGATGGCAAGGTCGTTCTTGAACTGCTGTGCTGTACCATTGCTAACGGTACATTGCCGAGGGCAGTAGACAACGATGAACCGGACGTTTCCGGTCGATGTTTCCACCTCAACGCCGACGGCCTCGATGATGGAAGTGCGGTAGTGGGGTAGGGTGCAGTACTTGATGCCTTTCTTGATGATGACCGCGACACCGCCCCCCCTGGAGCTGGTGCGATCAAGCCGGACAATGCTGTGGTCGGGCAGCCAGAAGCTGTCACCGGTCTTGAGGTGGGTCTCGGTGAGAAGGCCCACGTCGATGTCGTGCTTGCGGAGGAAGTCTGCAAGCTCAATGTTTTTCGCCCCTACGGAGCGAGCGTTCCAGTTGGCAATCTTTATGGGTTCACGGTCCATAATTAGCGACGAAGGAGATGATAGCTTGGAGCTGTTGTGTTCTTGTTGCGCAGGTGCGCTTGATGATGATGGCCTGGGCCAACAGTGTGACGATCTCATCCGTTGACAGCGGAGAATCGTCTGTAGCTTCACCGGTTGTACCGGCCAATCCCGGAGCAGGGGGATCCGTCGATGGCCCGGAGGCTTGACCGGGTACTGCAGCGGCAGCCAACTGGGCAGCAGCCAACTGTTGGTTGAGCGGGAGCGGCGGCAACACTGGAATTGGCCGTGATTGGACCGGTCATAACGGAGGAAAGTTCTGCGCGTTGTTTTCTGGAACCTTCTTACGACCGGGCTGGCTGTTGGACGAGGCTTTCTTCCGGATCTCGGCGTATTCGGCCCGCTTCGGACAGGCCTTACTCGTGGCCTTGTGGGCGGCACCGCAGTTGGCGCATGTGGGAGTGGCTTCCTCGATGCTGTCGCAGTTGTCGATCTTGTGGTTTTTGCCGCATTTGATGCAGCGGCTGGCCATGCGGCAATTCCTGGTGCCGTGCCCGAACAATAGGCAGTTCGAGCACTGAGTGACGCCACGGTGGGTCGGCTTATACCGCTCCCACTTCACTACGATGTGGAACAGTGTGCGTGTCGTCTGGAGATCCTTCACGGTTGTGGAGTTCTTCTCCAGATGGACCAGGTAGAGCTGGTCACGATACTTGATGGCCTTGCTGCGGGTCATCTTGTGGACTTCGACCGGCTTGAGGCCGTTCGCCTTAATCGCGTCCATTAAGGTGGTGGTGTCCATGTCGTGGAGCCCGCGCAGCACCACTTTCAGCGGCTTGGTGGCCTCGATGTCGTGGGAGAAGTACTCCAGCTTCATCCTGTCCAAGAGGGCCTGAACTGCGTTGAAGTGTTTTTCGGCCGGGACCATCAGTTTGTAGCCTTCCGTGCACCGTTGAATGGTGCAGCGAAGGCCCTGCTTAATGTAGAAATCCAGCTGCTCCCATAGCCCGGGAGGGAAGCCCTTCACATAGAAGGGTGGCAACTTAACTTTTTTCGGCACCGTCTCAGGGTCCGACTGCGGCTGGGCTCCGTTCTGCAGGGCGGAGAACGGATTGTTGCTCAGCAGCTTTTTTGCTGCTGATGCGGTGGCGCTGCTGTCTTCAGGTCTGGGTCGTTTAGTTCCGGGAGGCCCCGGCTGCGGGTCCGCAACGCCTGTCGGGATGGGCAATGGGGTTTTCTTCTGCTTCTTCTGGGCTGGCTCGGTGGTCGCGCCGTCTCCTGGGAGAGTCTGTTTTCCCGGTAAACCGGCACTCGCGTTACCGCGCGATTTCTTACCCATGGCTGGGTCAGCGAGAGCGTCACTACACAACGCGGAGCTAATTCGACTTGCGAACGAACGAACGAAACTAGAGAGAATTCAAATCGACTGAACTGCTCAACAGTCTGGCAGCGAATGATGAGCCTGCTTCTTCTGCGCGCGCGGATGATTTATTACTACTATCCTGATCGGTAATCTTCTCCTATCTGTTGCTTGCGATCGTGTACATGGGGTGTGAGAAAAAGAAAGTGAGTGTCTATTGCTGTGTGAAGTGTGTGATAAGAATGGTGATAATAGAGATAGTGTGTAACTGTACAACAATTTAGTGTAGGGTGACCAACATCTTATTTTGTGCCAACAAGAGGGATAGATTAGTAATTTCAATTTAATTCCACTACCTCATTTGCTTATCCTTGATGTGCAGACTTCTTCGGTGTCTTGTACTAAACTCGACTTTCAGGTACATTTTCACTTAGAAGCTAGGCAAACTTAAACCTAATGTTCTGTTGAAACAGGTACTGCACTCGTTGATGTGAACTAGGTAGTAACTTAAAAAGCCATGTGTGTCCGTTTTTTTTTATCCCGAGTAAAGTTGAGTTCTGTTCTTTGTTGATCTCGAGGCTCCAATTTCCATGGTGTAGATACAGTTGGTGTTCCTCTGTGAAGATGTGTTCTGCAACCTTTGATTTGAAACCGTATGTTAGG